AAAAAAAAGCTGGCAGTGCCCTTTGGCTGCATGGCACCCAGCAGAGCTGCACTCTGAGGGTCCATCCCAGCCCCCCTCCCGCCCCCCAGGGTTGGGCACTTTTAGAGCTGCAGAGTTCCATGTGAATACAGCCACTGGGATTTGGGGTTCTAATTATCTTCTCCCCCCCTCTTTTTTTGGAGAGAGCGCGTGTCGCCTCCTGCTTTATTTCTCTTATGCATATCAATTAAGAAAAAAATTAATTAAAAAAAAAAGTTTCTCTGGGGTTTGGAAAGGAAAAGGAAGGGGGAACGGCTGCAGACATTCATCCAGCGGGCACATCTTAACTCAGGTAAAAACGGAAAAAAAAAAGAAAAAGAAAACGAAAAAGAAAAAAGAAAAAAAAAAAAAAAAAGACAAAGATAAAACCACATTTCTACCTCTGAGAGCGGCGGCTGTGGGCGCTCCGTCCCACGTCCGGCTGAATATTTCAGTTTTGCAAACGTTCAGGTATTGAAACTTTTGATTATTAAAAAAATAAAAATAAAAAAAATAAAAATAATAATAAAAAAAATAAAAAAAAAAAAGAGAAAATAAAAACACTGAAAGTTTACATTTTATAATAACATTATTATACAGATTGTATTTAAGCTGCAGAATATTTAAGACAATTGTAACCCTGTAAAGTTGATGAAATATTAAAAAGAAAAAAAAAAATGATAATTAAAAAATAAATGGTTGTGTGAAGTTTGTGTCCCCTCCGCGAGGCTGGGGGGGGGATCCCAAGGGGTTCACATAGGAAACCGATGGGGTGAACGGTGCCAGCGGTCCCTGTGCCCTATGGTCCCTAAAGGACCCCACGAGGCACCCTGCGCTCACCCACCGACACTCTGACCACGCTGCACCCCGCTGAACTTCCGGCCCACCTGGCCCCGCCCAGCCGGCGGTGCCGCTTTTGATTGGGCGCCGCGGCGGAAGGGCGGCGCTCTGTGCGCGAGCCGCGCTCTCTCTGGCCCTGGCGGACCGCGAAGATGGCGGCGCCCATGGAGGTGGCGTTGGTGTCGGACGCCGCCGGGCCGCTTTGTAACTGCTCTGTTTGGGAGCTGCATTCGGGTTCCGCCTTGCCCGGTTATCGCGGTGGGAACACCGGACCGCGCGGGTTGGCGCTGCTGGGAGGCGAACACCTGCTGGGAGCCCAGCTGGGCAAGAGCTACATCAACGTGTGGGAGCTGCAGAGGAAGGTACCGGCGGCGGAGGGCGTGGGGAGAGCGGTGGGGGGGCTACCCGAGGAACCCCTCCGTAGGAGTCTCACCCTGCGCTGAGCCCGCCCGGCTTCCCTCTATCCGTAGACCTCTGCCACCTCTATGGTCAGACTGCCCCTCCTTAGGGCCCCCCCCGGCCCCATACTGAGATGTCCCCAGGGCCCTCCTGTCGGCAGGGATCTTCATATGGACTCTGGGTTTCTCTCTAGGCCCCCCCTTCTGCAGAGCCCCCCCAGCTCTGTGGTGGGAGCCCTCCAGAAGGACCTCCATCTCCATTCCTGCTCTGTATTCTCCGTACAGACGTCCCATGGTCAGATCCCCCCCCTCTTCCTTACAGTCCCCCATCCGGATCAGGTTCCTGAGCCTCCCCTGCACCCCACAAAGCCCCCACATAGTGCTGTTTAGCACTGGATTCCCCCCAGTTCCTGGGGAGAGCCTGGAGCTCCCTTACATGGGAGATCTCCACACATTGCTATAAAACAACTGTTCTCAAAAAGGAATTAATTGTGGGGTTCCCTTCCCCAAATGCAGCCTTGTTCCACCTGTCCCTGAATCGGGTGGACACTGCTGGGAGCCCCACACTGTGCCCACCATGGGGCAGCAGCACTGCTGGGCTCTGTGCCCCCACGCTGTGGGGTCCCCACACTGAACCCCATGGGGCCCTGATGGTCTTCTCCAGTCTGGGAGGATTTGTCAGAGGAATTATGGAGAAAACCTCTGCCTCAAAACCTCCATCCTGTTCTCTTTATGTTACTGAAAATGGGAAATCTGCAGGCTCACACCTGGAGTGACAGACCAACCCCTCACTGCTCCCCCATCCCTCCAGGACCACCCTGTTATCCTGGGACAGGACAGCAGCACAAACCCTTTGCCCCACAGCAGCTCTCTCCCTCTGTTTCTTGTCATTCCCTTCTGTTTTGCTGCAGGGAGCAGCAGCAGCAGCCCATGAGTTTGAGTGCACACACAGCCCCTTCCTTGCTGCAGCTCAGAGTTTGTTCCTGCCTGCTTCAGCTCCCCCAAACCAAGAGCTGATATCAGAGCTTTTTATTTGTCCTTCCAGGCTGTGAGCTCAGATCATCATCTTTTCTTTTTCTTTCTTTCTTTTTTAATTCATGTTATTTTGGTGTAATTCTAGCTTGTCTTCTGCTGAATCTCCAGGATTCCCTTATCACAGAATTTTATCTTACCTTTGGCGCTTGCTGCCTATGGCTGGAGTTGTGTGGATGCAGATGGGAAGAAGGGGAATTTACCTTTTCACTGTGGGCTTAAACACAAAGCAAAATGCAATCAAGTGGGATTTGTGCAATCCTAGAGACTGCACTTCTCCACTGCCTCTTCTGTGTTCCAGTTTGAGCTGAACCACACTCTGCTTTCTCTTTTCCTCCCCAAATTCCCCTTCATACTAAATGGCTGCTGGTTATTTTTTGTGTTTCCAGGACCAGCTCCAGCAGAAGATCATTTGCCCCGGACCGGTGACCTGCCTAACAGCTTCTCCCAACGGGCTCTACATCCTGGCTGGTGTTGCTGAGAGCATCTACCTGTGGGAGGTGAGGAACACACCCTGCCCATGCAGGGCTCAGTGTGGAGCTGCTGAGCTCACAACCCCTCGAGGCACAGGAATGGGTCTGCATGACACCCATGCTGAGGGTTTTCCAGCACGGTGCTTCCTCCCTTGCCTTTCTGGGCCTGGGGTCTGACTCCTCACATTTGCCAGAAGGCTTTGCAGTTATCTGTGGTCATCTTTTGGCATCTTGTTGGTGGTTTTCTTTCTGGCTTCAGAACTGTGCACGGATGAAGCATCAGTTTGAAGGTTCCTATAAATCAGTGAGACCCCCGTGTAGGTTAAAGTGATTTGGATCCGAGGGAAGTGAAAAATCCCAGCAGTCATGGAGAGAAGGAGGTTTGTGGTTAGATCCATAATGGATTAATAAGGGCTGAAAAGAATGGGAATATAGAGGTTTGCATCCTCTGTGGATAGTGACTGCCCTATGCTGTCAGGTGTGGGTAGATCCATAACAGCTGTGCTGCACAGTGGAGTTGAGGCTTCTCTGGGTCACACACGTTACAGATCCATGCTGGGGCTGGCTGCCCAGCAGCTTGTCATAGCAGGGTGGGAGATGAATGTTGCTGGAAGAGGCTGGGTGAGGTTTAGGCCTTTTTGTTTTGGAGCTGCTACAGATGCTTGGTGTTGTGGGCTCGGGTGTTGCTTCCTCAGTGCAGAAACCAAGACTCAGTGTTCATTTAGCATCCCATACTGGCCTGATGTTTGTATGTGACTTGTGAGCTGGATGTCCCTGCAGGTTGATGCACTCTGGTCATCATCCTATTTTCAATTAGTGGTGGTGTTTACGTGGGATTACGCTGTGTTCTAAGAGCTTCACCAAGTAAATAAAAGAACACAGCTTGTTCCTTGCCCCAGGGTTAAAGACCAATATGTCTAACCTGTAAACCTCTCAGTCTTGGGGGAATGGTTTTGAGCCTTATTACGTGGGTGGCTCTATCTTAATTCATCAAGGAACGCTGGGGCTGAGACTGCAGCAAGTGGGAGTTGCTTGCTTGTGATGCTCTGAGCTGGTTTCTGCTCTGCTTCATCTGCAAAGCGTGGTCCTTTCTCCTTGCTTCCAGTTAGCCTTGCCTTGGCAGCGTTTCGGAGCAGCTGGCAGCAGTGGGTGATGGCAGAGCAAACAGGCACGCATTGGAGAGGCCTCATGCAAACCATCATAGAGCTGGAAATGGGATCCAAGAGCCCCAGTTACCCACCTTGCTCTGCAGAACTCTTTCACTGTTGAATCACAGTTTGCTTTTATTTTTAGGTATAATTCAGACGATGAGAGGGAGTTGATTCTGTTCTTTTCTATGGTGCTCCCTTGCCACCTCCTTAGCTCCCTTCCTATCAGCAGCGTTGCCTTCTAATAAGAAAAGCTCTGAGTTTAGGGAACTCTTTGTCCACGCTGGAGGTCCTCTTGGTCTGAGAGCACTCACCCTGGCTGGAATGCAGCAGCCCTCTGTGGCTTTGTAACCCCTGCAGCCGTCGCGTGCCTTCAAACTGAGCGCTGAGATGCCACGGGAGGTTGGAGGAAGCCATCAGAGCAATGCTAACAATAAACAGGAAATCTTTACTGCGTGCTTGACCAGAGAAACTGCAGTGCTGTCACCGGATTCCAGAGCCACCGTGGGCAAGACCTGCTCAAACTGCTTCTTGCTGTGTTTACTCCTTGCTGAGTGTTCTCCTGCCCTTTCCTCAGGTCTCCAATGGAAACCTCCTGGCCATCCTGAACCGACACTACCAGGACCTCACATGCCTCTGCTTCACTGATGACAGCAGCCACTTTCTCTCGGGGGCAAAGGACTGCCTGGCGCTGGTGTGGAACTTGTACAGGTAACAGTGGCCCCAAGGACATCTTGGTCTGCTCGTTCTGGGAGCAGAGAGCATCTGGGCAAGGAATGCAGCATGAGATCAGCCACCACATCCTGGAGGCAGGGTCGGCTCTGCTTAAGCCTCCATCTCTAAGCTGTCCTTAAAGCTTACTAGTGGTGATGAGTCTGTGCCTTCCTTAGGCAAGTTGTTCCAGTGTTATCCTATCGCAGCACATCCCTCTGACTGCCTTTCTCCTTTTAAAGGGTGGGTTGTGCCCTTCCCCAGGCAATGGCAGCTGAGTGCTCTGTCCCCTGGGGTGGGGGATCTCTCTGGTGCCCTGTCTTCTTGTGCTGTGGCTGCTGACAGACTTCTGCCTTCAGCTCGATTCCTGCACGCACCAGCTCTCCCTCGCAGCCGCTTTACTTTGGCATCCCCAGAACTGCTGACCCTTTTCTGTGTTCTCTCCCCTCCAGTGTTCTACAGGCAGAGCCCTCCCAGATCCCAGACCCTCGCCACGTGTGGTCCCGACACAGCCTCCCCATCACAGACATGTGCTGTGGCTTTGGAGGACCTTTGGCACGAGCTGCCACCGCGTCCCTTGACCAGACAGCAAAGGTAAGGCTTGGATCAGTCTGCACAAAAAAGTGTCCCAGAGGTGTGCACGCCCCAGAGGGTTAAAGCTGAGTTTCTGCAGAGCTGTCCGTGCAGGTTGCAGTCGCTCAGTTTTTTGGCTGCCTCTGTGATGAGTCAGAGCTGCCAGCCCTAATGAGTTTTGCCTCTCCAAACACCAGCGGTTTCTCTGCTCCTGCCCTCAGACCAGGGCTCCTCATGCTTTGTCATCTCTATTGTCCCTGGAGGGTGTGGGGATCGTTTCCTCTCATCTCCCTTTGCTGCTGTCCCTTCCATCTGGAAGGACGTGGAACGCAGAGCTGGCTCCTTTAGGCACAACCAACTCCAGAGCTGGAGCTGGGAGGGATCCACCCTGGGAGATGAGATGGGTACAGGAAGGTCAGGGGCTGGTTCAGAGCTGCTGAGGAGCCTCGTTGCCTCCAGAGACTCGTTTGGATTCTGTCTTGGTTAGTGTGGAATTTAGCAAGTGACCCAGGGCAGGCCAGCTTGTGCCTCAGTTTCCCCATCCACAGTGGGATGGGGTGCTGCTCCGTGCTGCCAGCTTCCTGCTGGGCATGTCAGGGCTGGTAAGCAGCAGCGTGTTCTTCCAGTCAAGCAGTGAATGTTTAAGCCCCTAATTCTCCTGCATTGTCTTATTCCAGCTCTGGGAAATCTCATCCGGGGAGCTCCTGCTTTCAGTCCTGTTTGATGTGGGGATCATGGCTGTTACCCTGGACCTCTCAGAGTATCACATGTTCTGCGGTGGCATGGATGGATCCATATTCCAGGTTGACCTCTGTGCCTGGGTGAGTGCTGGGGGCTGCAGGGCTGCTTGGTGCTGCCATTGTGTGGCACTGTGAGCCACTGCCACCTCCTTCCTGTGTGACAGTGTGATCTGTCAGGGAACCCCTGTGTTCCCCTGCACCTCCTCTGCCCTGCCCAGACACACCAATGAATCTGCTGCCTTCAGTCTAGCTGAACTCAATCCCCTCTCACTCTTCCTTCCATCCTCCACTTCTGCAGCCAGTCCAGAGAGACCGGACCTTCCAGACAGAGCGGGAGAATGGGAAGATCTTCAAAGGGCACAGGTGAGATACCAGACATACCTGCCACCTATTTCACTGCCCACCTCACTGGTTTCTGGCAGACCTTGGGTCATGCTGAGTTTAAACATCCCTTCCCCATTCCAGGAACCAGGTGACGTGTCTGTCCGTCTCCACGGATGGCAGCCTGTTGCTTTCTGGCTCACACGATGAAACGGTGCGGCTATGGGACATCCAGAGCAAGCAGTGCCTGAAGACGATGAATCACAAAGGTAGGCATGCCCTTATCTCCACGATCCTTTCCTCCTTGTCTGTTAAAAGCTGCTGCTGTTTTGCTCTGACGCTGCCCTCGGCAATTCAGGCATTTCTATGCTGCTTGTTTCACCCTCTTGGGAAGGGCAGAGGCATTAAAGGGATGCCTTAGCTGTCTGGAGTGGGGTTTTGACCTTGCCCACGTCTGTTAACAAGCTCTCTGTGCACTGTCAGAAAGTGAGTCACAGATTTCACCCAGCCGTTGAGGAAGTCCAGGATCTTGTTTTCCAAAGGGAGCAGTTCTCCCAGACACACCTGAGCACTTGAGGAGGAAACGAGAGGGGGAGAACGTGTCTGAAGGAGAAACCATGGCCCCAGCAGCGGGCACCCATGAGCTCATTAGGTCTGAATAGAGTCCGATATCAGCAGGCTGGGATTTCAGGCAAATGGCTCCAATAAACCACACAGACCAAAGCTTGCCAGTGAGGTGCCTCAGAGCAGTGGGTGATTTAGCCCTCGTGTTGCAGGCGGTGAGATCCAGGCTGTGTGCAGACCCATTCCTTCTTTCCTTCTGCTTTTCTGCCAAGGACCTGCTGCAGCAGCCATCCAGCCTTGCCCTGCTAGCAGTAGGAGAGAAAGCAGGCAAAACTTGAGCTGTGTGAGTCATCAGAGGAGAGGTGGCCAAACTTTCACTGCAAGCCGAACATTAAAACCCTCCTCAAGCCTGCAAGGGAGCAAAGGCTGACACAAGCCCCTGCAGCGCCGTGCTGCTGGGTGCTAGGGCTGGAAGGCGAGGGGCTTTTTGCATCCTCTGCAGACTGACTTCTTCCTACAGGCTGGGAGTGGGCATCCCCAGCAGTGCTGGCACCATTACCACCCCGCTGATGCCTGGATGTTCCATCTGAGCGTGGGAGCAGCGTGGCAGTGGGATGTAATGCAGGAGCTGTACTGTGGGGAGCACAGGAACAGGGGCTCTGTGCTGGGACCCGGCACCCCACCAGTTCTCCTTTGCTTTCCTGCATCAGGAACGTGGGACTCCTCTGTCCCTGAAGCTGCCTCTCTCCTGGAGCTGTCCCAGCAGTGGGCTTCCTGCTCCTGGGCTGTGTTCTCCCCTTTGCCTTCCCCTCTGCCTCTCCAAGCTGCAGCGCAGCCCTCCTGGCAAGGTCTGTTCCATGCTGCTGCTCTGCTGCCCCTCCAGCAAGTTCCCTTTGCGAGGAGAAGCTGACATGGGCTTCTCTGCCTCAGCTGACATGACAGCCACCCCCGGCCTGCTGTGCTCTGGACAATGACGTCCTTCTGCTCACAGGGGCAAAGGAGGCAGCTGCAGGCAAAGAAGAAACCAGTGGCCTCCCCACATGACGGTGCTGGAAATAGATGAGAGGAACTGGACGTGGCTCAGGGCTGGAGAGGAGCGTGGCTGTGCTGGCAGGAAGGATGCAGGGGGCTTCTCCAAGGTTTGCTTGTCCTTGGCTAGGGCAGAGCGCAGGAAGAGAGACGGGCACTGAGGAGCTGTGCTGCTGCTGGTAATGAGCTGTGACTGCTGGGCCAAGGGCTGCTCTCTGCCTCTGCAGAGCATCTGCCACTGTGTGCACAGGTACTGCTGCACAGGGAGCCTGCACACCTCTGAGCCAGTGGGCCGTGGTGGGAGCCCTGCCCCCAGAGCTCACTGGACCTCAGTTCCCTCGTCGTGCCAGCGCTGTTCTTGGTGACACAGGCTGCCTCTGAGGACTGGCTCAAACGAGGCAGTGTGGGTGTGCTCCATCTGAGTCCATCCTGCTGGCACCCACCTTGGAGCTGGGTTATTTATTCTCCCTCAGTCCCATGCTGGCAGGACATTACTCACTGCCCAGTGCTGAGCCGTCCCTGCTGATTGGGTTGGAGGGGGTGAGCTGGGCTGGTTCTGCTGGAAGGGTCTGTGCCTCAGTGGTGACCAGATCTGGGGGCTCATGAGCTAGTTCTGAGATCTTATCCCTGCACCTTTCTTGCTCCCTTCTTCCAAATAACCCCCGGTGAGCCAGAGGTGGTAATCTCACTAATGGCTGTTTTCATTACCAGCAGCAAGCTTCTTTTTTAGGGAGGGAGCAGTGGTTTGTTCCAGCAAAGCGTTGGCAAGGAGCAGCTGCAGAGGGCATCCTGGGACTCCTGGCTGAGCACCTTCTGACAGAGTGTGTGGCAGAGCATTGGTTTGTGGGCCAGGACCCAGTGTGCAAGGAGGGCTGAGCTTTGGGGCCATCTCTGCTCTCACTTGGGCTGCTGATCTTTCCACTTCAGAGGTGCTCCCTTAGCACAGACCCAGAGCATCGGGCTGCTCCAGCCCCCAGGCCTGGGCTTCTTCCCTGCTGTGCACCTTTCTGTGCCTGTGGTGGCAGCCTGCCTTCGCTCAGGTGCATCTGGATCCTTTTAACCTTTCCCTTTGTGCGATCGAGTTGAGGTGGGGAAGATGGATGGCCAGGATTTATGAGCAGTGCTGGAGCTCCATTCACACACGAGCTGGGGTGGGGGGCTGAGAGCCACAGGGGCTGGAGGTCCTGCAGCCAATGCAGGGATATGGGGAGCAGTGGGAATTTGAGTGTGAGCTCGCAGCGGGGGGCGGAGGGGGCTGCTGACAGAAAGCAGCAGCCTGTGTGGGTAAATGTAGTAATTAAAGCGCTCGTTAGCTCTGCCAAACGAGTGCATGTGATGGATCATTACCAGGAGGCAGCAGCGTGAGCCGCAGGGGCTGACGGATGGCTGATGCTGCAGAGGATGGGTGGATCGTTTTGGGGGGGGATACAGTGTGTCCCTGGGGCTGAGAGCTGTGCTGTCCCACTGTGCTGGGGGGTGAACAGGTCCTGGCTCCTGCAGCTGCCATCTACTCCTCCAGCTGTGTTTGTTCTGCCCAAGAAACATGCTGGGGGGGGGGGGGGGGGGGATAGAGAAGTGACCCATCCTCACCTCTCTGTCATCCCTCCCCCTGCCCCCCAGGTCCGGTTACGAACGCCTTCATAGTGCTGGCTCCAGCCAACATGCTCAACCCAGATGGGAAACCCAGCGTGCCTCTTCCTAAATTCAGCAAGCACCTCTATGGCACTGAAAGCACTGATGAGCAGGGCAGCGAGGGAGTGACGCTGCGCCTCGGGCTGCACCAGCAGGTACTGGGCAGGAGGAAGGCATTGGGGGGAGGGTTTGCATGGGGGGGATGCAGGATTCTCCCCCAGCTTGATGTCTGCAGCTCCTTGGGGTCTGGTGAGCTCCCCTTGTGCTGCTGGGGAAGGACCTGGTGCCCTTCCTGTTTGTGGAGCAATGCACAGAGGGCAGTGAGGGTTCACAAGGCCTGAGCTGACTGGAGCATTCCCAGCTCCTGGGAAAGTGTGGGCTCATCCCTGCACAGAACTGCGTCCCATGAGTGCTTCCCTTTCCTCTCTCCTCTCTCTGCCTGTCCTGATGCTGCTCAGCTCCCCCCGGTTCTGTTTCCTAAAGCTGTTGGACTGCCCTGATGGAGCTCAAGTCCTTCTGCCAGGCACTGCCTCTGCTGTCAGCTGCCCCTGGGCTGCTCTTGGCTGCAGGAGAGTCACTCCAGGTCTGAGGCACTGCAGGGCTCTGGCTGCATCCCCTGGAGGCCACCCCTGTGCCAGCTGTGGTGGCATGGAGGAGCTGGAGCTCTGCTGCACTGAGTCCTGCATGCTGAGATCCTCTACTGAGCATCCTCTTTTCCCTCCTTCCCTCCTTCCCTCCTTCCCTCCTTCCCTCCTTCCCTC